TGTCCCCCCTTGCTGGGGGAACTACAGAGGTGTCCCCGGAGGGATGCAGGGACACACATGGGCACCACATCCCCCATAACCACCCCCCACCCCCCCAGAAAATGCCACCGTCCCTGCCTGCCACCATCAACATCCGGGAGCCCCGCTGGGACCAGAGCACTTTCCAGGGCCGGGCCAAGCACTTCTTCATGGTGACCGACCCCCGAAACCTGCTGCTCTCGGGGGCCACACTGGAGGAGGCCCGCCGGGTGGTGGAGGACTACAGGTACCGAGGGGGAAGCCGTACCCCCAGCACCGCTCCCCGCAGCATGCGGGCCATGGGGCCATCCTCAGGGGTGGGAATGGGAGCAGTGCTGCCCCCCCCCAGCCAAAGCTGCCCCCCAGATTACATGGCTGGTCCCTAAGGCATCTCCCAGCTGCCCCACATGGGGTGAGGGACCAGGTAGGCAGAGGGTCTCCCAACGGGTGCGGCCCTTACCCGGCAGGGCGGGCACGGTACCCCCGGGGCTGACGGAGGACCAGCTTTGGCGGGCGAAGTACATCTATGACTCAGCTTTCCACCCCGACACGGGGGAGAAGATGATCCTCGTGGGACGCATGTCTGCTCAGGTCCCCATGAACATGACCATCACTGGTTGCATGCTGACCTTCTACAGGTACCAGTCCCATCCTCACTGCAAGGCCAGAAGGGTGCCAGGAGGGTGGGGGAACACCCCCACCCCAGGCACCCTCCTGGCCCTGGGGTGAGGAGGGGACACATGCCCCATATACCTCGAGGCACGCGATGCCATAGGAGCATGGGTGACATCCACTCCCCCCGTGCCACCAGTGCCCTCCTCTCTCTGGTAGAACCACGCCGGCCGTGCTCTTCTGGCAGTGGGTCAACCAGTCCTTCAATGCTATTGTCAACTACACCAACCGGAGCGGGGATGCACCCATCACCCCCAGGTAAGCACCTCTCTGGCCAGGCCCCCAGGGGACCCCGGAATGCTAGGGGGTGGTGCCTTGAAGAGCTTCTTGAATAGCAGGGGACTGTGAGATGGTACAGTGGGGACCTGGTGCAGCCAGAGGTGGACACCAGTGGGTCTGTCAAGGTTGGTGGTAGAGCTGGGAGAGGAAACCAGGTGTCTGCTGCTATTGAAGGGCATGTTGTCCCCTCCCTTGGCAGGGGGGTGCATGGTCTGGGGGCTCCTGGATCATCTGTGTCACCTCCTGCTCTTGCAGCCAGCTGGGGACTGCCTATGTGAGTGCAACCACGGGGGCGGTTGTCACAGCGCTGGGGCTCAAATCGCTCACCAAGGTAAGGTGGTCCTTGGCCAGTGCTGTCCAGGGCACCTGGACCCTCTCGATGAAGTCTCCCTGAGCTCCCCATCACCTGGGGCAGGGGAGAAAATGGAGCAACAGAGTTGCCAGGGGGCAGCCACACAAGGCAGCAGCTCTCCCCAGCAATGGTTCCAGAGATGGCCTGGTCCCCCGGCCATGCTTCATCCCCAGCTGCATCTCTCCAGGCTTCTTTCCCCCCTTGGCCTCCCTCCACGTCTGGGAGGGGACATGGGACCTCCCTGGACTCCCTGGGCTCTGCAGCTTTGACTAGCTGGGAATTGCAGGGGAGGAGGGAACGGCTTTCCCCAGTGGGGCTGGGACACCCCAGTGTCTTGCAGGGGGCCAGTGGCAGACCTGGGGACAGCCAGCTCTGCCCCCAGACCCTCTGTGTGACGTGCTCCCTGCTTGCCCCTCCAGCACTTGCCAGCCATCATTGGCCGGTATGTACCTTTCGCGGCCGTGGCTGCTGCCAACTGCATCAACATCCCGCTGATGAGGCAGAGGTGAGCCCCTGGGCTGGGCTGGAGTGCTTGGGCTCGTGTCAGGGTTCACCAGGCGCTAGTGGGGGACACAGGGAGCAGTGCCCTGGGTTTGCAGGGGACTTCCTTCCTGGTCCTGCTAGCATCCCTTACCCTGGGGGGTTGGTTTGAGGGCACAAGTACCCAGTTGTATCCCAAGGGATTATTGGTTAAGATGGCTGTGAACTCCCCATCCCCATCAAGCCCTTTTGAGCACTCCCGAAGTGTGAATGTGGGTCCAACTGACTGCCCCCGCCCCCAACTTAGTATGCAGGCAGTGGATGTGGGATGTGGGAGGATGCCAACCTCCCTTGGAGGTGTGTGCCTGTGCTGTGTCCCTTCCTGTCCCTTGATCCCCCCACCCATGTGCCCTGGGCCACCCTCACCTCTCCTCTTCCTACAGAGAGCTCAAGCTGGGGATCCCTGTCACTGATGAGAATGGGAATCGCCTGGGCGAGTCCACAGCCGCAGCCCAGAAAGCCATTTTCCAGGTGGTAGTGTCCCGCATTGGCATGGCAGCTCCGGCCATGGGTGAGTGTCCCCTCTTCCCCCTGTGTCTGGGGACTGCAGCTGGTCCCTAATAGCATGGGACGGCATCCCATGACTGGTGAGGGGCTGTGAGCGCATGGACCTCATTTTCTTCCCCTCTGCCCCAGCCATCCCCCCAGTGATCATGAACGCACTGGAGAAGAGAGCTTTCCTGAAGGTACTTGTGGTCCTGGGATGGGGGGGTGGGCACAGGGACGCCTCCCTAGCTTGTCACAATGCTGGCACCTCTTGGGGCTGGCACCCCATCAGGAAACAGACACCTTCCCTCCCCGTCCACCCCACTGATGTGCACCTCTCCCTGTCCCCGGCAGCGGTACCCGTACCTGAATGCTCCTCTGCAGGTCGGCCTGGTGGGACTCTGGTAAGTCACCCTCTGTTGATGGGCATTGTCGTCCCTGGAGCAGACCGAGTCTGGGTATGGGGGACAGTGCTGCTGGGGTGTCTACTTGGCAGGGAGACAAGGGCCACCCCAGAGCTCCTCAGGGAGATGCTGGAGCTTGGCCAGGCTGGTGCCCCTCCAAGCAGATGGGATGAGATATGAGGTCCTGGGGCTGGGAGCTGTTTTGCTGCATCTTGATGTCTGTCAAGCCTGTCATGGGCTCCTGCTCAGCACTGCTATTCCCCCACACTGAAGAAGAGAGGCTTTGCCCCATTTCAGGAGCCAAATGCAGGGTCGGGAGCTTGGAGAGGGCATATCCTTACCCCTTTCCTGCCTGAGGACCTGCCACTGCTCCGGGCTGCCTCCTTGCTGCTCTGGGGTCAGGCTGTGGGTGGGAGCAGGTGATTTATGCAGCCCAGCTTCTCTCTGGCTTTCCCTTGCAGCTTGGTGTTCGCAACCCCACTGTGCTGCGCACTCTTCCCGCAGAAAAGGTAAGGATGAGCACCTTGTCCGCATGTGCAGCCCCGTGGGATGGGGCATGGGGTGCAGGCAGGAGGTGTGTGGGCTCCTTGTGCTCTCTGCTCCGTCAAGCAGTCAGAGGCTTGAAACTGTGCACATCCCTGTGCGCACGCAGCAGAGCAGACCCAAAGGTCTGTGCTGGGCCGTGGGGACAACAACCCTGTGGGGCACAGGTGGGGAAGGGGTGACAGCAGGTGGTTTCCCAACCTGGGCTGCCAGTGGGTGTCCCTCCCTCCATCATATGCATCTGTGTCCCCTTGGCAGCTCGATGCATGTGAGCCGCCTGGAGCCTGAAGTCCAAGCTCGGATCCGGGAGAAAGACCCGGGGCTGGAGACCGTCTACTTCAACAAAGGGCTCTGAACAGGGGGCCTGGGGCGGCTGAGGCGTGTGCCACAGAGCTGCTGGGCTGGCACACCGCTGAGCTTCACCCCTCGGAACCCCTTGGGGCTGCCGCCGATTTTCCTTGGCCGTTGCGTGTCCGTAGGTCCCAGGTGCTCATCCCTGTTTCCCAGGATGCCCACAGCCATGCAGCACTGCACTGAACCCCATCCCCGTGCCTGGGCTTAGCCCCGCTCTGGGGAGCTTGTGGCTGGCACCCTGGTGCCTTTCTCCTGTGCTCACCCTGTGTGCAGCGCACTGGGGTGCATGGGCAGCGGCACCAGGAACCCTGCAAGTGGGGATGTGGGGTGGGGAAGGAAACGGTGCTCCCCAGCTTTAGGAGGCACAGACAATCATGGTGTTCGAGGGTTGAACCCCTCTGCAGTCACCCCATGTTCCCTGGTGGTTCAGCAGATGGTGCCTGGAGATGGCAGAGCAGCTTTTGGAGAGGAAAACTCCCCATATCCAAAATAGCCGCGAGTGAGTGATTTCAAGCACGCAGTGGCTCATACCCAGGGGGGGCTCTCCCAGCCCAGTCGTGTGCTCTCAGCTCACCCCTCTGCTCTTCTGGGCTGCTCTGGGGATTTAATCTGGTTTTCTGCTCCTTCCATCCCCAGAGCAAATGGCACATTTTAATCCCAGCATAGAGTCCTCCTTTTTATTCTCATTTTAATGCCATCTCTGTTCAGGGCTGGGCTCCCCCTGAAGGTTCACTACCCCCTCCTGGAGTGCTTGCTTTCAGGTGAACCTTCTCAGATAGCTTTAAGTGCACCGTGGTTTCCTCTAGTTATTTTTGATATACATATAATGTACCTATATATACCAAATAATAAAGGCAGGTTGTTTATACAAAACCAAAAGCAAAGAGAAGCGTGTTGCTGATTTGTATATAGTGGAAATGGACTGCCATCAGGGTGAGAATGGGAGCAGGAGGGATGGGCAGGTCAGCTGCCAGGGTACCCCTGTGCTCCCCAGGGCCAGGTTCTGCTCTCTGCTTTCCAGCCCACTGCCTTTGCAGCAGCGACGGCTGGCTTGGCGTGTGGATAAGCTCATCCAGCTGTCAAGAGGGCTTTTTTTAGCACCAAGGGCTTTGCACCTCGCTGCTGTGCAGAAGGCTCTGCTAAGCTGCTGCCCTGGATGCTGCTGGTTTGGAGAGACTGGGGCATCCCCCCCAGCTCTGCCCATGCTCCCACCCCCTCTAGCAGCCCGCTCACAGGACACTCTGCTTCAATCCCAGCCCTGGGCCTGCGCCTGCCTCTCCAGTGAGGATATTTTTATCCAGCTTTCTATGCACAGCTATCAGAGAGCACATCGCTGCTGTCACGGGACCCTGGCAAGCCTGCGGGCAGTGGCTGTGTCACCCACAGGCCAAGGCAGTCAGAAGGAGCCATGGGTGTACATGCAAACAGAGGAGGGATGGAGGCAGCCACGCTCCGCAGAGCCCCCCAGAGCCCCTGCACCAAGCCAGGACAGAGGAGTGAGAGTCGCTGCAAAGCCAAAGATGGGCAGCTGCAGCAGCTGGTGAGATAAGGGCCAGGCAGCCCAGAGCCACCCTGTGCTGCAGCTTCCCCAGCAGACAGGGACTGGCAGAGGCTGGGCAGGGAGTGCTCCCCTGCCCGAGGGCAGCCAGGAGGACACCTGCACCCATCACCCACCCAGGGTGGGGGAGCGGATTGGGACAAGTGCATCAGAGATCTGTCCCCCTCCTTCTGCTGGCCCTGGCATATTGCAAATATCTCCCCTGAGCCAGCCATTGGCGGCTTATAAATAATGCAGCCCCTCGCTGCGCAATAAGGGCTTGTCAGTAGCTATTCTGCTCTCATAAATTAAAGATGAAAAGGTACAAGGCTCTTGCCAGAAAAATGAAGACAAATTTTTAATAGCTTGCCAAGACACAGGGAGATGGAGCACTCAGGAAAAATGAATTACGTTTTTATTATGTGTTTTATTGTGGTGTAATTGAACGGGATTAGCTGAGAATACAATATATTTCCAGGGCAGTGCAAAGAAAACAAAAATAATGATGACACCTGTGTGTGTGTAGTCGTTCCCCCCTCCAACTACCAGTCTGTGTGAGGACACACTCCCTATATACTCTGGCTGAGAGCTGGTCCTGAGCTGCTGGTGGCCATGAGAGGCAAAGATGGGGATGGGAGGGACACCAGAGGGGACAGGGGACTGGAAATACAGGGGCTTGTGTGTGGCTGGGTCTGGCTGGGTGACCGGGCAGGGTCTGGGCTCACCTGAGGAGCCCCCAGAGCTGTGGGGCTGGGGTGCAGGACAGGGTGGCATGGCAACACTCCGCTGCAGTCTTTTGCCTGTCTGCATGTCCACAGCTGCTTTCATCCCATCCCTGAGATTCCCCCTTTGGTCTGTCCCCCACCTGCACAAGCTGGCACTGCTAGGCTCAGACCTGACAAACTCAGTTCTGGGGTGCTGTCCTGCAAACCAGCCATGCTGGCTGATCTCTCCTGAGACTGGCAGCACTGCTGAGAGCCCACAGACTCAGTCACTTTGCTGGACTAGGGGGGACCTGTCCTCACAGGTCCTCTGGCTGGGGGGAGAGAAAGATGACCCCCTGGCTGGTGAGTTTTGGGGGGCTGACAAGCCCAAAGGTGAACCTGCTGCCTCAGAAGGGGATTCCAGGATGCAGCTGTGGATGCAGAGGAGCAAGGATGCTCAGTCTGTTCCCAAACCAGTTCATCCCAGAGGTCACAAGCCAGACCCTGAAAGGCAGTGGCTCGGTGTCCTCACAGGGTGCTGGGGGGTGCTAGGTTGGGGACATCGATTGGTCCCTGGCATTTTTAATGAGCTGCCCGACCACAAGCTTTAACCTTGCCCATAATGAGGGCGAGCAGCAGCAATTCCTACTGCCACAGCCGGCTCCCCCAGCCTTAATGAGCTAATCAATACTTGTTCTCAGCTTAATTTCCAGCTAATTGCTCTTTAATGACGCCTGGAAATGGGCAGCCTCTTGCGGGGGGGTGGGGGTATGGGCAGGCTCCCCCTCCCCAGTGCCCGTCCCTGGTGGCAGGGGATGCTGGGGCCCTGGCGGTGGGTCACCTTCCCTGGCTGCGTCCCAGCCTCACTGACGCTGCTGGAGGCTGGGGAAAGGGAGGGAGGGTGGCAAAGGGGACAGCGGGTGCAGGGCATGGTGCCACTGAGCTGGCAGCACCCTCTGGAGCACCCACCCTGGTAGGGGAGACTCTGCAGCCCCGTGCACCCACAGCAGGCTGAGTTGAGAGAGAGGGTCCCTGCACCCCAGGAGGGTTCCTAAGCCCCTCAGGACACTACCCTGCAGTGGGCGTCCCCAGAGTGAGCTCATGGGGATGGGGAGCTTGGTTTTGGGGTGCAGGGAGACGGGGATCTGCAGGCCCTAGGTACCGCGACAGTGTCACGGCAAGGGGACGGGGACGAGGCCAGCAGTGCCCTGGAGGTGGCAGCAGAGACCCCGCAGCCTGCACTCACTCGCCTCCACTCGCCTGCCTGCACTTCTCTACCGCCCTCCGCCGGGTCAGCCCCTCACGCTTCGGGGGTGTAGGGATGTTTAGGGGGTGCTCCTTTTTGCTGCGGGGTCAGGGGTGCGGGGGGAACCTGGCATGTGGCGGGGTGGTGGGAACTGCGCTAACCCGGTGCTGAGGTGTCAAAGTTGGCATGGCCATGTCAGCTGGGGGGGCTAGTGGGCAGAGTCAGGCGGTCCCCAGGAATGCAGCTCCCACCACAGGTTTGGTTTCTGGCCCCAGATTATACGACCTGTTCTTGAATGGGGCTGGTGGAAAAGCCCCAGTGAAAGCGGGGGGATTCCCGCAGGAAGGAGGCCAAGCTGCATCTAGCCCACCAAGCTGTGGTTTTTGGGGGAGAAGGGACCTGCAGCCTCCAGGTGGGGACCTCCCTCACATCCCTGGAGCAATTCCCGCCACCCAGCCACTGCTCCTCAGGGCCTGCCTGAGAACCTCCTGTCCCTCTTGCTCACAGCTGCAACTGTTTCCCCAAGAATTTGCTGATGGGTTTGTTCTTGGGAGGAATTTGCTCTGGAAAAGCCTGGAGAAACCTGAGCCTGGCTGCTTCCCAGCGTGGGTCCTGTGTGGCATGCGGGGTGGGAGGGACCTGCCTGCTGCCTGTCCCTTGTCCCTGCAGTGGACCCCTAGGATGTGTCTGGGACCCCCAAGAGCTGCATGGTCTTGGGGTGGGCTGGCCAGATCCTGGCTGTGTCAGACTGCTCCGAACAGCATGAAACGAAGAGGAGCAGCAGCGGATTTGAGATGAAACAAGGGAGATTTGGTTTATTACAAGAATGAGACCCTCCCAGCCCAGGCAGTGTGCTGGCAGCACCCCCTGCCCCAGTATCTCCTGGTGACATTTGCTTCTCTGTTGACATAAACCGCATTCCTGTCCCCACCAGTACTGCTCTCCAACCCTCCCTGACATGACATGTGTTGAGTCACTTGGCCCGGGGCTTTTTTTCCAGGGTGGGTTTTTTCCTTGGCCTCGACTGCTGGAAGTCCCGAATCCCCATGGGGTGGTCCACAAGATCAGCCTGGGGCCAGGGGGGAGGCAGTGGGGCCAGGAGCAGTGGGGCACCCCAGACCAGCTGTGACAGCTCTGCCATCAGGGGCACATCCTGATGACAGAGCTCTGGAGGGATGCCATGGAGCACTCACATGGATGCACGTGGATCTGCCAGGAGCACTCACAGACTCCTGGTTTCAATGAGACCGTCACAGGGGAAAGAAATGGTGATGAGGAGCAGCCCGCTTGGAAGGGAGGAGGGGGCTTAAGCCTCGCTGCGCCTTCAAAGCCCAATTTCAAGAATTTTACTGGGCTCAGGGCAAGTGAGGAGAGAGGAGGGATAACTGACCAGCACTGGAGCTGGGAACATGATTCACCCAAGTGCCAGTCCACACAGGGCTGCAACTACCCTTTTCCCCCCAAGTCTGTTCACGGCAACTGGAGCCACAAGCCCCGAGTGCAGCCAGTGGCCATGCTGATTGAATCGAAGCGGGATTGAGCACAGCTCCTCGTTAAATACAGGTTAGATCTTCCACCCCTCATTCATAGCTGCTACTATTTATTAGCACATTCAATAGTCTCATTAAGCAGGAGGTTTAATTACCTGCCAGGTTTGAGCTCCATCTTGTTTAGCTGAGCCACAATGTGCTGTTCTGCCTGTGGCTTCCAGTTGTGTTGCACCACAGCTGGAGCTTTCCCTGCTCAGATCTGGGGTTGGTTTTCACCTCTGGAGAGGGGATCACCATCTGCAGATGTGGCTTCTCCTCACCTTGCAAGTGGCAGATGCTGCAGTGATGCTTGGATGACTCCAGCCACCCAGAAGCCGTGGTAACCCCATGGGGACAGGGACATGACAAGCACCTGGGCCATGGCACATGGGAGAAGGTACCGGGGCTGGGGTCCTCATGTGTGGGGAAGGGCAGCAGCATCAGGGCCTGTCCCCCCTTGCCTCCCTGCCAAGGGCAAGAGAAGCAAATAACCAGGGAGCATCACTGGCCCCACTTTTCAGCAGGATTTAAGCACTGGCTCTATTTCTGTGCTGGCCAGGAGCTCTGTGGGCCAAAGTTGGCATCTGGGGCCAGGCTTTGGCCACTGCATGGGGCAGGCGAGGGTGCGCTTAGCACAGGGATGCCCAAATATGCAGGTAATGCTTTGTCCCAAGGCGGAGAAGTGGGGCACGGTGTGGGCAGCCTGGGAGGCTCAGCACCCTTGGCTGGGCCACAATCTTGTCCTCCTCTCTGCTCAGGCTCTGAACCAGCTCTGGGGGTGCATGTAGGAAACCCTCAGCCCCTCCTGACATTTTTCCCTGATCCCAAAGCAGCTGAAGCCCCAGCTGCTTGGCAACTAGTGGATGGGGGGCTCAAAAACCTGCAGCATGCTGGGACCGCACTCGATGGGCCAGGCGAGGGGAGCTGGGAAGGGAGGCAGCCCTGAGCCAAGGGGCTGGGGGCCGCGTAGGGGGAGCGGGATGTGAGACTGAACGCAGAGCTGGTAGGAAAACCCCCTCTGCAGCGGAGAGCTGGAGGGGGGGTCGGCCAGCGAAGGCGGGTTTAGGGGGGCTGAAGCCTGGTGCATTTTCCGTCATTAGCCACGGCCGGATTCACAACATGACTGAGCAAAAGCCCTGGAGCCCGGAACGAATTTGCAGGAGGGTGTTGGAAAGCAAAAGCAGATTTTTGCAGCATGGTGAAGGAAACCAGATCCTTCAATGTCTGCAATGGCTTTGCTTTGCCTGAGCTTCACGGGGGAAACAATCCCACAAATTCCTCACTTGGAGGAGGGGAGTGGGCTGTGGGATTCCCCCCCCCAGCACAGCAGTGGGAGCAAGATGCAAGTGCATGGCGTGTTTATGCTGCAAAGGCACGCTGGGCCCCTGCTCCTCAGAGCCAGGGGAATTGAGGCAGGGAGCAGCGAGGCAGCTTGCTGGGGGGGCCTGGAGCCCCAGCCCCGTGCACACAGGTTTGCATTGTCATGGTGTGAAGCACCCCCACCACTGCTCCCAGTGGCTCTTGTTCCAGCCAAGGTAATGCCATTGTTTGCACCCCAATACCCCCTTCATACCTGGCTCCCAGGGTGGGGTGAGCACAGACATCCCCCAGGAATTATCCCCCCATTTAATTACAGCAGCTGCTCAGTGTTTCAGCTTGTGTTTCCCATCCAAATTACACGTTGAGAGATGCTTTTGCCCACTTTCCCAGCCATGCCCACCCCCTGCTTTTCCCCTCCCATTCACTTGTCCGCACAGACCCTTGCTAAGGTGGGCTCTGACCCCCACCCCAGTCTGCTCCTGCCCCGTGGATGGAGCTGAGCATCGCACAGGTTCCGACACACGGTTTGGGGTGACTCCAGTGTCGGGGTCCGCGGGGAGGTGCTGGTGCCGGGGGGGCCGGAGCGGCAGAGTCCCGGGGCCAGGGTGCAGTGGGTGGCGGGA